CAAAAAGAAATTTGACGCAAAATGATAACATGTGAATTGAAAAAAAGATTCGACAAAATTTTCGTTTGATCAAATATCCGTCGATCAATTTTCCGTTGACGAAATTTCCGGATACTAATAAATGAACTTTTAAAAAAAAAAAAAAAGAGTTTCCATCACAAAAAAACAAACCGGGATGCCTGGAGAGCCTTTGTTTGTGGTCTATGCCCCAGACGGGACGACAGGCGGTGATGATGATGATGATTACATTCCAGAGAGGGGCCTCTGATAAAATGTTTCAGTTCTTGTCATTAACCATTACACTTGCAGTATCTTAGTTTAAATCAACATTATCAGCAGCTATTTCTGTTTTCAAACCATCCATATCTTTTGCTTGTATTTTTACGTCAATCTCTTCCATTTTCTCAACTATTTGCTGAAAATAATGCATGCTGCTGGTATCGGGAGAAAAAGTATCAATCGTAGGCTGAGGAAACTCTTTTGATGAACCCCGACCCTGGTCATCATGTGGTTTCTGGATATCGAAGCATGTATTCTGGTAGTGATTTTAGTGAATCGTGTATTTTCTTGTTTGCTTTTAACTGCAAACCGTGTAGCATGATATAAAAATCTAGAACGATTAAAATACTTTAATTTTGTCATGTTCAAGACAACAATAACAACAACAAAAAAAAACAAAAAAACAAAACAAAAACAAAACAAAAACAAAAAATTACTGACGACGGTTCAAAAATAGCTGTCAAGCACTGTCTAAATACAACAAAGAAAGGTACCAGGTCAAACCCATCAGTCAAAATATGACAATTGTGCTCAAAGGTTAAGGGGCGATACAAGTGACGAATCGAGGAAAATATTAATTTTTGAGTATTTCTGGGTTTCAAAATATAATATTATATAATATGTCTTCAAAAAAATGTTCTTTATTTAAATTTAAAAAAATAAGAATTAATCATTGAAAGATTGAAAATTGTGTAAAAGAATGAATTTTTTAACCGTATAAATGGGTAAAATTAAATTTTAATGTTATTAATTTTTATATTATCTATTACTTACCGCCCGACATCACCGTATATGGTATCAATGGGAAGACCGATTTCTGAGAATTTAGATCAATATAGCCTCCTGTCACTTACGAAAGAAACAGAATGCTTCAATCGGCGTGGAAATAATTACTGTGTTTTTCTGACCTAAACATAGGGTCATTTAATTCTGATGCATCAACCTTGAACTTTTAATAAAGAACGTATTTGGATTGGTTACATTTATGAAAAATGTCTTCGTTATCGGTTATACTTTTATACATCTCGATAAGACCGAGCAGTTTGTGCTCTGCAGCTATGCAGATTTTCATGTGGGTGTCACCCCCAAAATGGTGTCACCCGGTGCGGTCCGCACCCCCCGCACCCCCCTCGCTACGCCACTGAGAAGAAGCCCAAAAAGTCTGATCGCTTCTCCGCCTTTTGGCTAAGATCAGGATGTAGTGGCTGTTCTTATCCTGCCGGGTTCCAAAGCTGTTTGGGGGAACTTGATATCTCGCTTGGTTTTCAGCTTTGGTTGGGACGATCAGTATGATTAGTAAGAATAAATAGCAGTTAAAATGACAGGATTTAAAGAGGAACTACCACAGTATTGCAGTACATTTCGGGAAACCCCTACCAAAAATTAAAAAGAAAAAGAAAAAAAGGATACAGTGAAGGGGCCAAAACAGGGATTGTAACAAAAATATTTTGTATTACATATTATTGTAAAATATGACGTGCGAAAAAATTGAACATTTAAAAGTACGAGGTTGTGAATTTTTTTTTAGTTTTGCAGATAGCAATATCTAAAAGCACCAAAATTTTGAAAGCACGGAGATTAAATCGATTAAAAAAATTTTAAAAATTAAAAAAAGCTCAATAGCTAAAAATACAGTTTATGTGGTTTGAACAAGTCAGTGTTAACTTTCTTAAAAGTAAGGATTTTCATTTTTTTTTAAAAACAAAATAAGCAGCATGGACATTTTTTATGAGATAACCAATAGTTCTTTTTACAACCCCCCGCCCCCCCCCTTTAAAAGTAAGGATTTTCATTTTTTTTTAAAAAAAAAATAAGCAGCATGGACATTTTTTATGAGATAACCAATAGTTCTTTTTACAACCCCCCCCCCCCCCCCCCCCGAAAAAAAAACAACAACAACCCACAAACATGTTATGCTTGAATATTGAATAAAATAATCATAAGAACAGTAAGAATTCTTGTGTAACTATATTCCGATAATATATCTCGGGAGCGAAGCAGAGGTTGGTCAAATTATAATCAAGATATCAATATATCAAAATCCTTTAATGTTACAAATATTGAAATGGTACATAGGGGAGAGTCTGGAGGAATGGACAGGTGGGAGAAATGGACCATCCCCTATAAAATCGAATCTATTTGACCAAAATATTTTGGAACTCAATTAATGCATAAATTACTTCCTTTTTGTGATTTCTAAGAGTTTCCAGCTTATATGACCAGCGATGAATCAAATGAATTACGAGTAAAAGTAAAATGTTGGCATAAAAAAAAGTTGTTTTCAACAAACCTCACCATAGCGTCTAGAAATTTAACTGGTTCATCAAGAATAAAGTAAATATAGTTTAGCGTATCATATTTAGTTACTTATAGTAAGTCATATTAAATTTGATTATTTACATCACGAACTTAAATTTTTGAAATAAATTCTCATCTGCACCAATCCCTTAGTGGGGTGAAATGTGCCCAAAAAAATGGAGGGAAATGTACATGTGTCCATTTCTCCCCACTGTTTATTTTCTTATGCTTCATTACTGCATAATCTTTAAGTAATTAATACGCATTATTATATTGAGCATCACTATAGTTAATTAACTTTAAATTTAAATAACAATTTAGAATTATCATACATGATTTATTTTAGCAAAACTTAATTTTTGTTTCTTGCAGAATCATGCCAAGAAACTACACAAGAAAAACAGAAAAGGGTCAAATACCCTTGGAAGTTATGAGAAATGTAGTTGATGCCATTAAAGGGGGAAAGTCGATACGTGCAGCTGCTACACAACTCGGAATATCACGCACAACTTTGAATAACAATCTAAAAAAATCTGTCTCTACGGACCAATTAAAACCAAATTACAAACATGCCATGGTATTCATAGCTGACCAAGAGACTATGTTTGCGGATTACCTGGAAGCATGCTCAAAAATGTTTCATGGGCTGACATTAGCCAGTGTGAAATTATTAGCCTACGAGCTGGCCATAGTTAACCCCTCAAATAAAACACAGTCACTGGACAGATCAGTTTTTGGACCATTTAGAAGTGCATTCAGTGCTTCAGCTGATTCATGGATGCTTAGGAACGTAGGCAAACCAATCACAATTTACCAAATTGTTGAACTTGGAGGGGCCTTCGTCAAAGCTGCAACCCCATCAAATATATTGTCTGGTTTCCAAGCCAGCGGACTTTGGCCTGTTAATAAAGACATTTACACAGATATAGACTTTATGCTATAACAGACAGATCAGATCCAGCTGAAACACTGTCTCTAGCTGCGTCTTCTTTAGGTAGCCCAGCTACATCATCTTCTCCCTTGCAACTACACCAGGCTTCACACCCCAACCCATCAATGTTTAGCTCACCTGAGATTTTTTGAGGCTACCCTAAAGCAGGACCCATTAAATAATACTAGAAAGAAAAGACAATCATTGATTGCCACATCAACCCCTGAAATAAAAAAAAAATGCAGCAAGATAGGTTGATTAAAGACACAAGGGTGTAACGTCCCTTAAAATTACAGGCAAAGCAATTATTTGAAAGTGACGATGGTGACTCTGACATGGACTTTGACTTGACAAGCAACGATGATTTAGATGACTTTATTTCAGACTGTGAAGACTTGACAACTAATTGTGTTGGAATGAATGGTGTTGAAGAAGTTATGAAAGATGATTGTGTGCTGTGTGAGTATAGTGTAAAGATTTCAGTGTTGTTTTATGTGGCTTTTGTGAGGAAGGAAGAGGATGAAGATGGGGATGTGGAAGTAGAATTTTAAAGAAAAAGTGAGAAAGCGACTGGCAAATTTA